TCTCTCGGAGGGCGGCAGCTCCCTTTCTCGCAAGACCGTTCGCTTTGCCGGCGAGGATGGCAATCTCAATCACCATGTCCTCCAGCAACAACAGCCACCGCAGCAACAGCAATCACCTAACAGCCTGAGCAATGACCCTCCCTCCTTGGGCGCCTCCGGCTCGGAGGACTCTACCTGTACTCTCATCCCCTCACCCACTCGCGGTCAGTATTCCTGGTAGATATGCACACAGAGAAGGGCCACAGATATCATAGGTACGGTGGTTCAGACTAGTGGGTACGTGTTAAGGTCATTCGCATACTGCGGCTGACATAGTGTGGCAGAGGTGCATAAGCGAGAGGAACCGAGGGGCATGCGTGGCCTATACGGCTTCCTGAACAGGGCACAGAAATAGAAACGCCAACCCATGTAATACAACAGGTCCTGCGCATTTTTTTGCAGGAAGAGTTAATATAACCGAATCAAAATCCTAACATAAACCTAGGCAGTAGCTCTACTGTAAACCCTAGCCCCACCGTATATCCCAACACTACAGTTAACGCTAGTCTTACTCAAAAACCAAACTAAACCCCACTCCTTATCTGACTGCTACTGTTAAACTTAATCTTAAACTTATCTCTAGACCTTAATTGAAACCTAACCGTAGTGTACCTGTAACGTGGCACAACGCCTTCTGATTAAGGGTTCGTTATAAACACCACCGTAGTTTCCTGTACAGAATTGACTACTTATTTCGGTGTATATTTCGTTAAAATTATCCTCATTTAGCTTTGAAAAAGAGACTGCCTCATTTCCCGGCTTTATAAATTAAAGAATTTACTCACATTCGGCTGCTACTGTCCTGCTTGGTTGTTTGCAAATCAACTGATCTTATAGGCTTGCGGATACCGCTGTTCACTTCCGTGTCAGTCATCTAATCGTGGTCAATTCGCGGGTATTATTTGCTCAGTTATTGCTTCCGATTGGTTTTACTTCCGTCTGACTCATAATTTGGCCTTATTTCTATCGCGGCAGTTTATTCAGTTGCCTTCGGTTTGTTTATATTTGCTTTTTAATTATCGCGCGTTTTTAGTTGCCATACGCAAGATTTTAAAAAATTGCCCATTGTTTACTACTTTTCTATGCTCTATTTTAAAAAAAGTTTCCTGCACAATCCATATAACCCCTATTACTACCGGTCCCGTTTTGCAAAAACCTGGGTTATTTTGTTACTCCGGTGATGTGTATAAGGAATCATTACCGCCGCCTGTGTTGTGGACAGCTTTTGTGCTGATGTTCTGTTTAGGGTCCGTATAAGTCATCCTTACCATGGAAAACATCAGCGCGTTATAGGTTGCACATAAGGGAGCTGCCAATTCAACCAGTACAACTGATCTCATTTGTTTCAATTGCAGATGGAATTTGGCAGCAATAGGATGGGTGGCGGTTTTCATGTCGTTTACGGTCATTGGTAGTTCGACCCTCGTGTTAAATAACACCTCTCCCGAAAAGCCGGTGTTTATGGTTTGAAAGATATCCGGCGTGTTTTCTTGGCGGGAATCGTCGTGTAGTCTAGGGGTCTTGTGCCAGACCAATCCTAACTCTTATTTTGCGACAGCTTTCACGGTGGAAATGGACTTCACGCCGATGATCTGGTTTAGGAGCGGAATCAACGTTAATAGCTGTTATTCAGTCAAGGATTTTTATATAGGCTCCTAAAAGAACATGAGAGAAGGAACCATCCACAGTACAGGCGATTTTGCGCTGACTTCTGGAGAACTCAGGGTTAGGTTTAAGATAAGGGTTGATGTAGTGAACAGACTTATATTTAGGGTTAGGTATGGCGTTTGTCTAAGTTCGATGATCGTATTGATGTAAGCATTCAGGTATATCGCTCGCATCAGACACGGTTCGCTACATCAGACGCAGGCTGAGTTCATCTTCAGCCCAGGTTTATAACTAGAATCTGACCCATTGATCCCTGAACACCTCCTCCCTTACTTACTATTGATTGGTTGCTTAAGCTTTTGTTCACTTTAACCCCCCACTTATTTGATGGTAATTGCCTGATGATGAACAATCAAAAACATATGTTCGCCCAACTCGACTTTCTGGATGGCGCTTGTGTTAATTGATTACGGCTACGCTTTAGGCTTATGCTAGGTTTGGAAAACAGGAATATTTGCCCTGCCTGGAATTATGGGCAGGACCAAATTTCTTACTTGGTGGGGATGGGCGTCCTTATTCCCCTGTCCTATTTAGGGTGCCAAATAAGCAATTGTTACAGTTGTCAAAACCGGGCGGGAGCTATTGTTTCATAGCTGTTAGGTCGAAGACGCTGCACGTGGTGCCCTCCCGATAAAGTAGACAGGCAAGCATGATTTTTTTTACTGTAAGGTCGAATTCAATTAACTGCGGTTACGTAAAATCCATCAGGTGTCCGGTTCGAAGCTCTGGGGGTTCCACAACCTGAAGTTGCGTACAGTGGGCTGATTACTGCTAATTAACCATAAATTGCCATTCTAGTCTCCCCTAGTCTGCCTGTATTATTAACTGTTCTGCGGCTGTTTGTGGATTTCAATAACGGACCTCAATGTACAACGCAACGAGAATATCTCATATCGCGACAAACAGTGAGCGCCCCTCTACCAAAATCAGCAATACATCATCAAAATTGACAAATTTGTGGATAGTAGCTCCACATAACGACTGTAACCCACCTCCTGATGGCTCACGTGGCCATACATTTGTGCACTGTTTTGTCTCAAAATGCATTTTCAGTATCCTCTTCTCCTTTTCCATTGGTTTACCTTGTTATTGTCTTCTAGTGCACAAATCGGCAGCCGATATTGACCACTCATACGTCGACGGTTCCCGTGGACCCACAATGCGACCTGCTATTCGCCGAGGTGGATCAGGTTTTCCCGATCCTTATGAAGCTGAGACGCCACAACCTGTGCCTCGGTTGCTAAGGCCAATAACAACACTAAACAGTGAGGCAAAACCGCCTCGACCACCTAAACTGACCAAGGACATGCACCAGCAACGTGCACGTCGAAGGACCACCGATGTGGCTGAGTTGAGATCCGTCAGCGGGGCGGGGTACCTCCGGCTGCATGATCAGCGGAGGCATCAGCGGGGGAACACTCTCGAAAGTCCCCTTTACTCAACATCTTCGCGTGCCACAGCGCAGACGAGGGAGTGGGATGAGGTGGATTCCCGAGTTACCTTGCAGGACGACTCCTACGCCAATGTTGACAGCTTCCACCTGGCCTACCAACCAAATGGTTGGTTTCGACATGAGAATGATGCGCCTGCGCCGGTATCCGCAGCAAAAGCTGAATCAGAACATGCTTCCTTTCGGGCCGACAGTTCACTCAGCTCAAATCGCCCACGACTCTTCCGACCTCCGCGAGTAGAGCGAATTGACTCTTCGAAGTTGGATGACATCGCTCGCCAGCTGACTTCTCCTACACTGATGATGGATACGCCATCCTTCTCACACCTCGGTACTGAAAGGGTAACCAGTCCAGCCTTTCTGGAACCCACCAATGGGACCTCTTCGACGCCAACGGTATCTGTCGTGGACGAAAACCACCGCTATCCTCTGGATCCTATAGTGAGTATGACGGGTGTTTTTCGGGCAGTAAGGAAGTAATATGCTTGTCCGAATTTAACTCTTTTAAATAGATATCGATCTGCAGGTAGGATGACTTACTTCAAAGTGGTTAGCTCCGCTAAAAGCTGCCTAATTCGTCAGAAGCCCTAAAGAGAAGGCACGTTGTGACCAATAAATACTTCAAGTTTTAAAAGGTTGGTCTTGCACTAGATCGTTAGGTCCCCTTTTGTGAAGAACCGTTGTAGGATAATAGTCCCGTGCTGAGAGTGTAGTGAAGCATTCTTGTCTGTGAGTTCCTATGTGTCCATCGCTCAAACATATGCTCAAACCATTTCGGTTGACGTTTAGGTTATCCTTCGCTGAGACTGCCCACTTTATTAGCTGATTTGACGGCTGATTTGGTATTGGCATTGTCGATGGGGACTCTACAAGCAGTCACTGAACTTTACCGGGATCTGGTCCTCCTGTCGCAATTCGTTGCACAATTTCACCTACGGCGGATCCAGTTTGCCCTTATTGCAGCTTGGCACCTCTGAAGCTAGGACCAGTTCGCGTGCGTGGCAGTTGCAGACGGATCTTCTGACCTTGTCAGTAAATGCTCCTGCGCCCATCTCTGGTTCTCTTTTCTTGCCATCAGAGTAAAGTGAGTGGAGGAATAGAGATTGTGTGTGTGTGTGTGTGTGCGCGCACTAGAGGCCTCTCACGTTCTGTTCCGCAGTCGCCGACATTGCGCACACTCCGTTCGGCATGTTTTGGCATCGTAGAGAGCACGGTCGAGCTCTCGTTTGAACACAGTATGATTTCTACCCCTCTTTGAACCACCGAGTTGGCATATCAGTGCTGTATATAATCACCCTCTAGACAGTAAATTTCGTGTTGAATCCTAGTATAACTAGCCGCTGTGCGGCTGCTGGCGGGGTCCGAGATTAAGCTCCGTAATGGGCTCGGTATGTAGCTCTCCAACTACCGTAAAGTTCCAAAATGTAGCTGTAGATCTGTCCGAACAAGGCTTTCACGATACTGTATTAATTCCGCTTCAGCGCTCACCGCTTATTCAAGTTCGTATTGCACATTCATTTGCGGGAATTTACGAAGACGGGGGAATAGTAATCCCACCTCTTTTCTGGGCGCTTTGCGACAATTCCCTGGGTGATTAGTATTAGATTTTTGGTTGGGGTTAAGTAGCGGTTGTGGTAACGATTACTGTCAGAGTTTTTTTAGGACTAGGGTTGGGATTATGACTTAATACTAGTTACTACTCTTGGCTCTTTGCTCGAGGTCACCCGTACTATTCCAGTGTCTTATCGAGATTTGTTGTCCTATAATTTTATTGTAAGTGCCCGGCTAACTCGGGATAACGTGGATCAAGTTCCGACTGAATGTCTGAACATAATCAGTACATGTCTGCGATTCTGTTTTTTGAGAGCTCAGGGACCCCTTTACTGCAATCAGCACGCGTGTGATATGCGTAGGGTGGAGGGGAGCGGTGATTGTTCATTGCGTCTACGTCGTCTCCATTCTTTATGACGTTGTTCTGCCATTGGACCGTGATAGATATGCGAAGGGAGTTGAACAGCCAAGTGTAAGTCTCCCTTACTATAACTCAGTTTGTATACAATCCATCAGTACGTCCTCTGTTTATTTGTGATTCTTGTCACTAAAAACAATGGAACGGTTTCACAGTCTATTCTGAGCTTTTAAGTAGGATGATGTCGCTTGCTGGATGGGGCAGACAATCTGAGTTAACTAGCAAATTAGCCTGTTCTGACAGTGAAAATAGCGAAATTTTGCCAGAACCGTATTTTCTATTGCGCATTTTAGCCCACTGGATTGATTTTAAACGCTTTAGTTAGTTCCTTTTTGTAACATTTGGTGCTGTTTACCCGCCATCGACAGAAATTTCAATATCAAATATTACTTTTTATTCTTACGTAGCTCCTGGCGTATAAGGTTAACCATTTAGCTGAAGAGACTAATCAGTGTAACGGTCTAAATATCTACGCCAGTAAACCTTGTTTACGCGTTCTTTCGACTTCCTAACGGGACATCCAAGTTAGCACAACAGCCTAGCACGAAGAAAATGAATGCAACTACACCCAACTGCTTGATGTTTACATACCGCTAGGATCTTTTTCTGGGGTTTCTTTGTAGATCAAAACAGTCGAAGTGTACTTCTGACATGTTTTTTATTTTTCTCATCCTCAGCCTGCACTTCGTGACTTATTATCTAAGTACTTTAACGAAAAGTGCACGACATTTCGCCTCAACGCTTCACAGTCTGTTG